ACTTCTTCATGTGATGAGAAACGCTTTCCACGTAGAAATTTTTTGAGATGTGGAAAGAGGTGGAAGTCGGACGGAGCCAGATCTGGTGAATACGGTGGATGTTCCAAGCGTTCGTACTTTAATTCGACCAATTTCGCCTTTGCAACATCGCTGATATGAGCAGGTGCGTTGTCCTGGTGATAAATGATTTTTTTATGCAGCAAACCAGGTCTTTTCTCACGAATTTTTTTATCCAACTGGTCCAAAAGATTTTTATAATATTCATCTGTTATCGTTTTACCGGTTTGAAGGTAATCTATTAATAAAATTCCTTTTGCATCCCAAAAAACTGATGCCATAACCTTCTTTGACGATTTTGACGCCTTCACTTGCTTCGGAGCTGAACAACCGGGTTCTGTCCACTCTGCAGTTTGTTGTCGCAGCTTCGGATCATAGTGGTAAACCCAAGTCTCATCCATGGTTACGAATCGACGCATAAAATCTGTTTTATTCTTTTGAAAACGGGCCAAATGTTCTTGAGAAAGTTTTACTCGAGTGCGTTTCTGATCCAGAGTTAGCGAATGCGGCACCCATCTTGCCAACAGCTTTCTCAGACGTAATTCATCGTGCAAGATGTGTAATACCCGTTCATCTGAGATGCCCACAGCCTCAGCAATTTCACGTTTGGTCAATCGTCTATCATCCATAACCATGTCATGCACAGCATTAATCGTTTCTTTAGTAGTAGCACTTTTTGGACGTCCAGAGCGAGGGTCATCTTCAAGGCTTGAACGCCCACGTTGAAACTCCGCAGCCCATTTGCATACTGTTGTTTTTGAAGGAGCATCATCACCCAACACATTTACCATTTCATTATGAATTTCCATGGGCTTTAAACCTTTTTTCACAAAGAATTTTATTACAGCACGATGTTCAATATTTTCCATTTTAAAAAATACTATGACACGTCTAATTTCAATAGCTTGTATACAAAGACTGAAATGACATATCGACTTGAAATTTTTTATGCGTTCATACGAACTTTTCAACCAACCTAGTATATTCGAAGATAAACCATATTTTGTCTTAAACATTAGAAGCATAACCTGGTATATGTTAAGTTTAGAAACAATTAGTGCATTAAGTTCCATTAAAAGATATATATATATATATATATATATATATATATATATATATATATATATATATATATATATATATATATATATATATATATATATATATATATATATACCAACATAAGGTTGATAGTCAAATACTTAAATAACAGTAGTTATTTAAGTCTATATTTCTCTTTTTTATTTTCGAAAATTTGTCGAATATATCATCAATGGGTATAATAATATCCCTGTGAACATGCAACAAAGCCAAACCCATTAATCGATTTTGGTCTATTCTTGACCTTAACCATGTTTTCAATCTACAAAAATATGTTTTAGGCCAGTTTATATTTCATAGTATCAGTGATTGTATTTGGATTTGATACAGTTTCTTTTTTTTATAAAGTAACCAACGTCGGTAGTAAATTTATTACGCACATTTATTGATGTACTTACAATAGTTGGTTGACTATTTTGATCTTTAATTGCTTGCAGACACTGAGGTAGATATGGAGAATTTGATAGTTTTTCAATATTGACATTTGATTTACTCGAATTCGAGGAGATATTATTAGTAATTTCATTTTTCGGCCATTTTGATAATAAACTTTGTGTAGCATTGCGTTCACTCATATTAACACTAACAGTTAAGCTTTTATTAAAATTTAATACATATAAAATTAAAACAAAATGCAAGATATAATAAAGTTTTGTAATAAATAATAATACAATTTACATTTAGTCCTTATCAGTACCTACTTTATAATTGATCATAAAAGTAGTAGGGTGAAAACTATAGCAATATCGCTTTTGTTCCTCTTTCGGCTCTTCTCATCTAATATGAATTTGTTTTTTGGTTGATTTTATTTAGTTAAGATGACATATTATTACAATCTTGGTCCTTTGTACCTCAATTTAATACCCTCTAACTTATTGCCTGTATTATTTTACCATGATCTTATAAGTTATTAATTTATTAATTTTACGAAATAATTTATATATATATATAATTTATTAATTGTACGAAATCTTTACCATCGTCAGAAACACGCAATGCGTTTAATATGTTTCGAAAATCGTTTTTCTCATTCAAATATTTTATTTAAAAACGTTAAAGCACTTAACGTTTACGAACTCAATCTCTATAATATTTTATGTTTTATGTATCGTTGTAAAAGTGAACAACCATTGTCCAATTTCAAAGATCTTTTTACTTATAAAGCTATAAACAAATATGCTTTACGAAATAATAATTTATTAATTGAACCCTTTTGTCAAACAAAGTTTAATCAATTTTGCATAAACTATAGAGCATCGTATTTATGGAACAAAATTGTTGTTCCAAATTTTGATTTGTCAATTTCGTTTTCCGTTTTTAAAACTAAATTAAAAAACTGTATTCTTTCTACTGGCAATATAAATATTTTTGAAATGTAAAATTCTTTTTTTTACTCTGGATAATTTGTAAAACTATTTTCAGTTTTTGTTTCTTCTACATTGTTATTAGTTATTTGATCAATTGTATTTTATTTTATTATATATACACGTATTATATCTTTTATATGGTTCTGGCGACAAGATCATTTGGATCTTCTTTTAGATACCAAGTTTATATATTGTTATATTGTTATATTACGATTAATAATTGTAAACTGAAAAAAAAAAAAAAAAAAAAAAAAAAAAAAGTTAAAACAATTGTTTGTTTACTGTTTTTTTTCTTTATAGTACTGTCTAGTTAATATTTACATTAATATAATTGTTTATATTGTTGTTGGTAGTGTCTGTATTTTTATTACGTTTTTTTATTTATTTATATAGTTATTATTGTTACATTAATTAGTTTCTTTGTAACATAATTATTATTGTTTATGTTGCTATTAATATTGTCTGTATTGTTATTATTATTATTATTATTATTTTTATTGTTATTATTATTATTATTATCATTATCATAGTATATGATATATCATAGTATATGATATACTTTTATAATCTTTATTACTACTTTTAATCGCTATTATCACTACTATTAATTTTATTTACTCCTACTTCTGTTATAATAATAATAATTATTATTTTACTATTATTGAATTTGACTGGTGTTTACTTTTATATTAGTACCAATTTGTAAATATCGATGTAGTAACTTTATTTAGACTATATTTGATTTGATTTGATTTAATATTACGGCTTATATAGATCCTTAACAGTATCTTCTCACCTGTTTTAACTTCATTATGTTTAGAACGAGATTCAATGCCGGCTCTGGTCACATAAGCGACTCGATTTTAGCGACAAGAATTTAGCTTTCAAGTAAAATGCTTTTTTAGGGCGCTCTGTGACCAAATGAAGATTGAGTTCTGTAAAGATTGTTACGTCTATTTTAGAGCACTTTAATCTTGGGCTGTTCCAATGAAAAATACATAGGAACCCACATAGAATCCATATGGGACAAGTTTTTTTTTTCACTGGGGTTAAGTCTACTTAAAATTTAGTTATTAAGTTATGTAATAACTTAGATAATAGCTAAACAAAAACAACATCAAAAAATTAAATAAAAAATCTTATAAAAATCTGCGATAAAAATCATATAACTATATTTTAATTAATATCAATATAATATCTATAAATAATTTCAATATTAATACCATGGGCTGACCCGAACATTTGGAAATGGTGAGGGAGGAAGAAGACAGTTTTCAGGGTTTTTACAATTTGCTGGTTATATATGGACCATACATGAGGGTGGAAGGAGAAGAAAGCGATTTTTAAGTTTAATTTGTGAGCAGCCCACAAATTATAAAATTTTATAAGTTAGCTTTTCTCAGAATATTGGTACTATATATTACACTAAGTAGTAACCCGACGGGCATTTGTTTTTAAAAGTTACGTTCTAAATGTGTTTTAAACGTCTTTTAAACGTCTTTTAAACATTAATGTTTAAAAGACGTTTAAAAGACATTTAAAATACATTTAGATCGTAACTTTTAAAAACAAATGCCCGTCGGGAATATTAGTAATATATATTTAACCAACTTAATTTATGTAACTATGAAATTACGCCAACAGTCCGATTTTAAATTGGCACTTCAATATTTTACTGAAATTTCATAATTTATTTCCGTACATACATAACTACTCGGTATAGTTAGGGCAATTTTAAAATATTTTAGCGTCTGTATGATATTTTGTTGACTATGACATATTTCCGTTAAATGATCAGGTCTGTAAATTATGAAAAGACGAAAAAAATTAAAATGATAAATTGATATATCATAAAAATATATATGTTTATAGCGAAAAAACCGATACCAAAAATTCTTAAAAAAAAAAAAAAAAATCTTCTTAAAATCGCAATCGCTTGTCCAAATTTGGATTAAGATTTTTAATAAATACGTTGTTTAGGTGAAATGAACATCATAGTTAAATAATATGATTTGTTCTGATCGTTTATTGACAGTTTTTCTTGATTATAAGCTCTATCTTGGTCGGATTTTAGTATTTTTCGTGAAAATTCATAGAAATATTGTATTTAGACAACTATATACAGTTAATTTACGTCAGAACCGAGTAGAACTAGGATCTATAGTGGGTTAAGACACTTTTTCAAAAGATTTTAATTGAATTCATATTAACTGCGTTGAGCGAAAATGATCTAATGACTCCAATGATGTTCTTTAGATAAAATAAAAGAGTGATAAAATCATGCTAACTCCAAATAAAAGAGTTCGAATAATCTGTAAATCGCCATAACTCCACCGAGTATGTTAAATGTATAAATTTACAAAAAAATTCTTTCCGGAATATCTAAAGAAGAGGGGCTGTAACCCCCCACAACCCTTCTTCGGATCCGCCCTTAATACTCAAATAATTTTATATCTTAAAAATACGTTTCCTAAATCTCTACGAACGAGAGCGTTAATAGTAATAACATTTTAGCCTGTTTTATTATTGTTGACATAAGCATTGTTATTTTTGTTAAACATTTATGTAAAAATAGCTTAAGGAGGTGGTACTTTACATTAGTTTATTTACTATTTATAAACATCTTTGAATTGTTAGAAATTGTATTAAAAGTATTTATTGACTGATTGCATAATTTTTGTTTTTTTAGGTATTTACAGACAAACAGGCTAATAGATTTTCATGTTGTTATTGGAGGTTTACTTTTACTGTAAGACATGACTGAAGTCTTCGGTGAAGTCTTCAGCGAAGAAGTAAATGAAGTGCCATGTATTGATTTTTAACACTTAAATTTTTATATAGAGAGCGATGAAACTTTAATAGTCTTTAACGATAAAAAATTTCTAAATATAACCTATAAACATGATAAATTTATTCAGTGATATTAATCTTCAGGCTTTTAAAAGCCGAAAAGTTCATGTCAACAAATAAATTTATCAATTCTGCATTTAAATAAGGGTAAAATATAAATAAATCAAAATCATTTGCAAAATTTATTTGCAAATGATTTTGACATACCTTGGGAGAGATAATAAGATCACATCTATGCATGAGAGATGGAATGTTAGATATGTAAACAATAGTATTAGAGATTTTTTAAATAATCTCTATAACCTATTTTTTTTGGTAAAATATGAAATTTAGTAATCGGAGAGTAATGGATATTATCTTTAAACAATAATTTTTTGCATTATTTTTTTGCAATGATTAAAAAATGTTTTCCAGAGAGTTGTTCTGGTGTAAAAGATGAAAAAAATTATTATAATTAGAAATAACAGCTGCAAAAAAATAATAAAGAGAAAACCAGTAAATAGATTGAGGCTTGACTTAAAACGGATGAGAAGAAAAAAAGCTTCCATATCTGCCTGAATCTGTATTCAGGATTCGCAGAATAAGAAGGAGCAAAGCATAAGTTAGTGTCAAAAACACAAATCACGGAGTAAATGTGTTTAAATTGTTTAGAAATGAGTCACAAAAGCAGGGTAGTTAGTACTATACCTTGTGTACTGCTTCTTAATACTCTGATATTAAACACCTGCTGATGAAAGCCTCTTTAAGAGCTACTACAAAGATTATGATATCCCTTTTTTATATCCTGTATTTATATGTGTGATAGATTCCTATAAACCAAATTGCAAAAGCCATGTTTGAACTGGTTTAACATTGTAGCAAGGGGCGCCATCATGTTAAAAACAACAAGTATGATGTGCTTCCATTTAATCTGGATGATTTGTACTTATGATAAAGTGCAAGATGATTTTTGATATTCTTTGCTGATAATGATAACTTTTTTGTAATCCAATATGATTTAAGACCACTTATTGATAACCTGGGATGAACAGTTTTGTTTCATATATACTGCAGTTTGTTTGGATTAATTATAGAAAATCTGCAATTTTTTGGTTGTCCCAGGCTAAAGTAACATGTAGGCAGTTGTGGTCTTAATTTGAATATTACTGGTACTTTTACTTGTATATTTTGACAAATATGCAAGGAAATTCCAAAAGATTTAGCTATATTTCTCTGACTTATGTTTTTTTTGTGAAAGGCTAAAACTTGAGCACATTTTTTTGAAAAACATATATATACATATGTATATATATATATATATATATATATATATATATATATATATATATATATATATATATATATATATATATATATATATACATATGTATATATATATATATATATATATATATATATATATATATATATATATATATATATATATATATATATATATATAATATATATGGTAAAAGTATCTTGAAGATACAAGATAAGATAGTGTCTTAAGATTTTTTCAAGTTATTTTGTTTTTGATCCAATCACCGAGTATTTTCTTAACTTATCATGTTGGACTGTTAGGCTGTTAGCTTTGCTTAAAACCTTGTACTTGGATGTCACTGCAATTACAAACATACAATTTGTTATGTGTCAAAGACTCACGAGTCACTGACTCACTGTGTTTAAAATTAATAATCTGATTAATTATTAATTATTATTAATTAATGATTAATTGCAAATTAAAATCATTGATTAATGATCACTAATCAAAATTTAATTAATGTAACCTTAGTTAATAGTTTATAGAATACAAGTGGCCAAATGCAATAAAATTTGAATGAGTATCAAAAGAAATAACAAAATTGTTCACGTTTTAATAATGTCATTTCTAATATTTTTTCTGTTCATCATTCACTTTTAAATCCTTTAATTCCAATAGTTAATAGCTATAGTAGTAGTTCAAACTCCCTGTAATGATGTAATTGTGGGTTTACTCCCTGTAATGATGTAATTGTGGGTTTACTCCCTGTAATGATGTAATTTTGGGTTTATTCCCTGTAATGGTGTAATTGTGGGTTTACTCCCTGTAATGATGTAATTTTGGGTTTATTCCCTGTAATGATATAATTGTGGGTTTACTCCCTGTAATGATGTAATTGTGGGTTTACAATGTTTTTCAGTTTAGTCTTATTTTTAATCTCTTTTTTGAATGTGATTTGATTATTTTGTTTTTTTATGTTCTGTTTAACTGTTTTTCTAACTAAATAGTAAGTATCTAAATTGTAAATAAATGTTTACCACATGCTTGATGATGCTTTCAGGAACTGCTCAGAGTGATTTAGCTGGGAGCATTGGACTGCATGGTATAATGGGTATTCACACGCTGAAGAAGGGGTTCAAACAATGGTGAACAAATTTGGTTTCTCTTGGCAGTAGCAATCATTCCAGCAATGGAGAAAAGGCACTCAACAGCAACAGACAATAGTGGGCAACTTTGTATTTGAAGAAAAGATATCAGACATATTGCTTTAACAAATTCTAAGTTTTGTCACAATTTTCCAAATATTGCAGTTTCTCAATTTATCGTCAAGATTGTAATAACATTGAGTTTAGACTTATTTCTGGTTCATCCTTTTCCATGAACATGAAAAAATCAACTTGCTCAAGTCTAGATATTGATGTCAGATAAAAGCTTCGTTGAATTGCAGAGCAAAACTTAAATGATTGGTCAACTGAAAGTTTAAATTGACTTAACTAAAACAGAGTTGTATACAAAAATCTTTTATAGCTTTATAGCTTTTTTATTTTTTATTTTTTTATTTTATAGCTTTTGGGATTTAATGTTTATGAAGTTGGTCCAGACTTTCAGTGAGATGCGTAAGAACATGGTTTTATTTATTCAAGAATGCTAACTCTTGTTTCTTGAAACATGGTATATCAAGAGCTTTACAGAGTGCTTCCAGCTTGTTGGGACTGTGCAACAAAATACTGCAATGAGAATCATAGTAACTGTTCTATCTTGTAGTAAATGGAATCATTAGTTGGCACCCTACGATGTCTGATAATATTTTGTTTAATTGCTGCCTGTTCACCTCATTCCATATTGTTGATAGTTTGCCATTGCTAGAATGAAGTAATAAGCAATATCTTGCTTTCACTTTAGAAGATACTGATACCATTTATGAACAGCACACCTCTGATGAGTAGGCAAGACAACTTGTTCATCCTCATTTTCATCCTCAATTATATCTGATTTTGCTTTTGTTTTTGTCAGTGACTTGATATTCCAGCAACTATTTTTCTCCATCTAATTATACATTGTTATTTTTCTCCATCTAATTATACATTGTTATTTTTCTCCATCTAATACATTGTTAGTCAGACATGCAATTGTAGACATTGATTCGCTGCCAAAGTCTATTTGAAGAACATGACCAACATTCAATAATTCATGGAGAATTAATCAGAGCTACTTCTTTAAAATCATTATTATCATCCTGGTCATTCTTGGTGTCATCAAGATGTAATTGAAACTCATAAAAAGCTTTCAGGAAATTGCTACTGTTGTTGGTTACACAGCATATCACTTTATCCACAGAAATTCTTTCATAATATTGGATAACAATTTAGCAATGGGGTCATAGGTATGTGATCCAGAAAACAATCGACACACAAGAGCAAATGATTTTTGCTTCAGGTCATCAGTAAGCACATGACCTGTGTTACCCATGAATTTTTTTTGTCAAGAAGCACATGTGGGATATCTATGAGTGGTCATTTTTTTGAATTACTAAAATTTGACATCTGAAATTACTTCTTGTTGCAGTTGGTAATAATATGTCTGTATTTTTTAAAAATTTTTATGATAAAATATATCAGAAATCAAAATATCAGTAAGAATTAAAAATTATTAATCCATATTTTGCCTGCCCGGTTTACTGTGAATGGCCCTTATACATTTAATGACATTTATTTGAAAACTGATAAGTAAATAAATCTGCTAGTAATAAAAAAGTATCTTTAAAAATAGTATCTTACACTGTCAAGACACTTTAAAAAATTATCTTGAAGATAATATAAGATACTTTCAATTTTAAGAACAATAATAATAGATAGTTTCTTCAACCTTCAAGATAAAGATATTATCTTTAAGTATCTTGCACAACAGTGTTGTGCAACATACTATCTTGATATATATATATATAGTTTATGACTGTTTTTTTTTTGCAAACAATATTATGTAGCAAGAAGATAAAACTCAAGTTGCAAATGAGTTGTTTAATTAACAATATTAATATTTACCTAAAAAACTCAGTTTTTTTTTTTAAATTTTTTTGGGTAATATGGTATGTAGGTAATGTAGTATGTAGAGTGTTTCAATCTACATACTTTTTATAGCCCAATGTTAACCTGACATTTTAATATCTGTTACAAAATAATTAAACAGAAAATCGATCAGAACACTGTGAGTAGTTATGCTGCTGTAAGTGGAGAACACCATGTTTTTTTCAACAATCTGCACACCCTGATCAAGGACATTCCTCCTTCTAACAAACTAGTTTTGCCATTTGCAAAATACTTTCTTTATTTTCATAAACATGTATTGCAAGGTTTTGTTGTTTAAATTAGGTGTTTTTGTTAAGTGGCCAACTTACCTAATTTTTAGATTTTTTAAAAATGATTTTCTTTAATATGTTGTGGTTTAAGTTTTAAATGTGTTAATATGTTGTAGTTAAAGCTACATTGTTGATTTTCACATGTAATTTGTATCTTGTATGAGCAATTCTTACATAAAATCTACAAATTTATAGCTCTTGTATTTATCAAATTATTGAAAAAATACAAAGTGGCCATATAACCCCATCTAATAATACTACGGTGGAGAAAATAGAATAAGCCTCATCATGTTCTAACCCAATACTTTGTAAATCTGTAAGAAAGTTTGTGTGATGCATATTTTGTATCCACATATATAAAATTATTGTTACAAGCAATAAATTTTTAGATTATAATATAGCATAAGTAAATTGTGATTTATTTGAAAAAAACATAAAATGTATAATACTTGATATTTGCAGTAACAAATAGAATCATCCTCATCAATATTTATTTTCAGTTTACTTGTATATTTTGATCTGGTGATACGCATTTGTGACTTTTTTATTTTATTATTTGCAAGTTAAACAAAGACTGTGAAATCAGTGCTCATAAAGTTTTTAACATTTGGTTTTTGATACCTAAATTTGAAATGGAACTTGTTTAGTGTTTAAACCATCTAGAAATAGCTGTAATCAAAGCATAAAAAGATGCAGGCTTATATAATCAGGAAATTGCAAAGAAAATTAAAAGATCTCCAAAAGTGGTTAATAATTTCTTCAAGATGGGTTTTAATTATAGAGCTTATAAGGTAAATGATATAAAACGTAAAATTGATAATTGTACTAAACAAGATATTGAACGTCCTACTGCTGCGCGACACATGACTGCATCTCGAATTTACAATTACCTGTAACTGTAAATTCGAGATGCAGTCATGTGTTGCAACTGCCAATTTACAGTTACCTGTAACTGTTCAACGTGTGAGACAAATCTTACACGCTTTTTCCAAACTGTGTTCCAAACACAGTTTGGAAAAAGCGTAAACCAAAACTAAAATTTCTTGTTTGTCATAAAGAAGCTAGCTTACAATTTGCAAAAGAACACATGGAAGAGTAGCATTAAGTTCTCTTTAGTGATGAAAAAAAGTTCAAAAAAAGTGCCAGTAATACTGATGGTCCTGATGGCTATCAATATTACTGGCACGATCTTTGAAAAGAGGAAGAAGCTCAGATGAGTCGTAAATTTGGTGGTAGAACTGTTATGGTTTAGGGGGCTTTTTCCTTTGCTGTAAAACTTCCACTGGGATGGGTTTCAATAAAAATGAATTCACAGGACTATATTGACTTATTAGAAATTAGTTTGCTTGAACATGGTGAAGAATTGATGGGTGAAAAGTTAACTTTTCAACAATACAATGCTGCTATCCATAATTCAAATTTTACAAAAGCTTAGTTTAGAGAAAAAGTATTCACGTAATGAAATGGTCTGCATGCAATCCAGATCTAAACCCAATTGAAAATCTATGGGGAATACTTTCTAGAAAGATTTATGAAAATGGTAAACAATTTGAATCTATATTCAAGCTGAAAACTTGTATCAGAAAAGCTTGGAATGAAATATCTATTCAAACTATCCAAAATCTTGTGACTAGAATGTAAAGTTGCATTTTTAAAGTCATTAAAAATTTAGGAGGCAATAGTAACTATTAAATGGGCGTAAAATAAAATTTTTTCTGTGTTTTTTTGTATATAACGTAAATGAGGCAAATTCAGTTTTCTCCACAAATTGAATACTTTTAATTTTTTTCTATTGGTATTTAATTAAACATACCAATTTATAATTTTTTTAATTGTAGTAGTTATTATGTTAATAAGAAAAAATGTAGATTTAATAGTTGTTTCACTGCCATTTTTGTTAAATTAAAACAAAAAAAAAAAGGTGAGGCTAATTCTATTTTCTCTGCTGCATAATAACCACTGTTTTTTAATTATTTTTGTAATCTATTAATTTACATGCCAAGTTTGCACTGCCGTTATTGCTTCATTTTTACTACACTAAATCTACCTAAAGCTACATTCAAGCTACCCAAAACATTAAAGCTACTTAAAACTATGTAACACTGTTTGCAGAGTTATTTAACTATTAAAATGTTTTCAATAGCCAAATTTTATTTTATATATATTTGTAACTATTTAGATGGTGTTTTCAAAAATCAAGATTACTCAGAAACAAATAATAACAGTGAAAGTCAAAACACATGGGGTCATAAAGCTGAGTTTATTTTAGCTTCAATTGGATTGGCAGTTGGATTAGGAAATGTATGGAGATTTCCGTATCTCTGTCATAAAAATGGTGGTGGTAAATATAAATTTTTTAAAAGTTGTTTAACTTTTTTCATAAAACTTCATTTTTTATTTCTTATTAGTTATTTAAATAAATATTAATTTCTGTGATGTATCCAGGAATATTTAAAGGTGTGGGGGAGGGTGGAGGGGTGATGTTGATGCTTAAACTAAGAAAAAAAAGCTCCTTAAATTGGCAAAAAGGCCTCTAAAGTTTAAAAGAAATTTTTTTGATAATATTGGGGACCTACCTGATGTTGAGCAAACCCATAAAATGTGTTTTATTCAAAATTTTTATATAATATACTTATAATAATATATATATATGATCAATTATACATGAGTCATTTCATGCCAAATGATGTAAATTTTTATAGGCATTTTCATGGATCATCTCTCACTTTTCTGAAACCTTTTGATTTTGTGCATATATATAAGAAAAACATGTTTTAAAAATTTAGATCAATATCTAATATGGTTCTTGAGAAAACACTTTTTAAGTAATGGTCTATTTTGCATAAAATTTCCAAGCAAAATGTTTGTTTTTTTTTTTATCATTTTAGCAGCTAGTAACTTTTGAACAAATGGATTTTATACTTTAATTATTTTAAGAATAAAGAATATTTTTGTTTTTTTTATTTTTGTTTTGGAAAATTAAAGAGCTTTATCTTAAAAACTAGATTAAAAATTCAAATTCAAAACAAATCAAAATGGCTGTTGATCTAAGTGTGGTTGATAAACATTTTTTTTTTAACTGTTGATTAAAGTGCTGCATTCAAAAGTTACGAGTCATCAATGTGGGTAGGGTCAGGATTTTTTTTTAAATTGATTTCTGATGCAAAACATCTGTTACCCAAGATGGCCCTTTTTTTTCCCTCAAGATTTTTTATATGCATCAATCAAGGAGTGTTTTTTAATAAAAATCAAAAAGATAATAGACACTTATTTATAATCCCAAAAGGTAGTCTCTTAAAGTCATAAATTTTCTATAAAAACTTTTTTTTTTAATAAAAAATATTATTTGTTTATTGAATTTTTAGATACTGTATTGGCAATCTAAAAAGTACAAATAGAACCAAAAAAATTATTATTGTTATTAGAACAAATAATGACAAGTGATACGTCTGAGTTCTCTCCTTATTGTATTGGTAAAGTGTTAAATGAACAGTTCTATTTTATTAAATTTAGCAACTCTAAAAATAGTAAATTTTTAAAGAACTGTCTAAACTAAACCAAGAGTTTCTTTCTTTGAGAAGCAAAGTAAGTCCTATAGAAGGTTTTTGTAATTATCATGAGAATGATTTCTTGTTTAGGTACAAGAATGAACATCAAAGATATTTTTTTAATCCTCACAGATGTGTTTTTTTGTGGGAATTCCTGAAATTCCGGAAATTCACTTGAAACTCCTGTAGTTTTCCAGAAATTTCCTGATATTTTTTGTTGTTAATTTGAAAAAAATTATATAAAATTTTAAATACAACAAGGTTTGCATTTAAATAAGTATGAAATTTTCACGAGATCAATTTTCATAACAGTCTTTTTTCTTTTTTCTTTTTATATCATTCAAATTAACTTTTTCGAATATAAGAAATTCTTTTTTAAAAAGTTAAATAATCTAATTCCGTTTTAAAAGTTTATAAAAATTTAAAAAATTTTAAAAAATGGAATTCCATCAAATAACAGGATGCAATGCAAGGTTTCCACTGGAATAACAACCAGGAAACTTTGCACCTCTTTATTGTTTATTTTCTAAAAAATAAAAAAACTTGATAGATAAAGCTACTGTGTTATATCAGACCATCTGAAACATGGAACAGATGCTGTTCATTACTTTATTACTAATGCTATTGATAAATTGAAACAATTACAATACTTGAACATAATATTTATTTTAGTGATGTATGTCCATCACAAGATAAAAATAATATCAAGTTATGTTACTATAAATAATTTATGCTACCATAGCAACCATAAACAAGTTATGCTACCATAACAACCATAAACAATATTTCAACATTACTACAGAGTGGCACTTTTTTGCAACATCACATGGTAAGTCCTTGTGATGGAGAATGACCGTTTCAGATAAAAATCTGAAATGGTCCATAAGGGACTTTTACTCCATCTGGCATGAAATGAGCCATAGACAAAATGTTATATAATTTTTATAAAATCAAATTATTATTCTTCACATTAATTGTTTAATTCGAATACTTAATTACTTTTTTTTTAATAACTTGGCTAATTTAAATTTTTGTAACAGTTTTTTATTTAAGTTTTATTTGCTAGACTAATTAAAACAATAATCACTCAACCTAATTAAAACTATAGTTAAACAATAAACTATAACAAAATTTGTAAGCAATATGCATAAAAGGTATGTTAACATGCACATAATGAGCATAGTCTCGAAGAGACTATACTCATTATTATGCACATTAACTTACAAATTTAATTTCAATAATACAATGTAGTCACTTCCAAAGTTAGTATCAATATATACTTATAATTTATTAGTTTTGTTCTACACAATACCTAGAACAAAGCTATACAAAAACACATTATATTTAATGACTAGTTCAAAAAAAAAAAATGTTTGTCACAACATTTTTTATATCCTATATTGAATTTTTATGTTATTAAAAAGAAAGAAATTTTAATGTTAAATTTGATATTGTTAAAGACAATACTAATTACAAAACAAAAATTGTTGTTAAATTTAATTACTTATATATATACATATATATGTTCATAATGAAAATGATTAAAAAAAATATTTTTTTTTAGGAGCTTTTCTGATTCCATATTTTATAATGATGGTAATTGAAGGAATTCCCTTATTTTACATTGAGTTTGCAATTGGTCAACGTTTTAGACAAAGTGCTGTGGGTTGCTGGAAAAAGATTCACCCTGCTCTCATGGGAATAGGCATATCTAGTATTGTCGCTTCATTTCTTTTATGCATTTATTATATAGTAGTTATTACATGGTGCTTTTATTACTTCTTTGTTTCATTAACATCAAAACTTCCATGGCGATTAGAAAACTGTCCTCGGTAAGATTTTTTTTGTTTTTTGTTCAGAGATGGAAGTCTCAAAAAGGATTCTGATTTTAAATTTTTAATTTTTCCTAGTCTTTAGTGTCCAGGAGCTCTAAAAATGTTAAGTGACTTATTTTTTATATTTGTCTTATTATTATTATTTTAAAGTTTTTTACTTTTGGTTTTTTTATTCTTCTTTTATTTTTGTTAAAATAATGTGTTTGTTTTTTCTGAGCACCTTTTAATAAGTGTTTACGAAGTTGCATTAAGTGATAATATCAAGTGTAGTATGAATCAGTTTTCTTTGGCACTTGTGACATAAATTTTACTTTTTTATTGAATACTTTTATATTACATTTTTACTTTTGTATGTCCCCTGTTGGATGTTAATATTGTAAAAGTCAACGTTTATTGTGAGGTAAAACTCGGTAAAAAAAAAAAAAGAACTAGATTTAAAAGAAAGGTTTACTATATATTAAATTACTTTTTTGTTGTTTGTTATTTTATTGTATATTTTTTATATTTAAGGTATCTAGAATACAAAAACATATCCATTCTTTGTGCTGCAAATAAAACAGATTTTTGCTTACTCAAGGATAACTTTCCTGATTGTTGTGTGCATGATCCACCCTTGTATTATTTCTACAATAAAGCATTAAATATTTCTCCTTCAATAAATGATCTTGGCAATGGAATTCAATGGAAGTTGTTTGGATGTCTGGTGCTTTCTTGGGTTATTATATATGTTAGTATTGTTAAAGGAATTGTTTCTAGTGGAAAGGTAACTGTTGTGATTTGGTTTTTGGTTAAAGTTTGTAGGGATGAGAGTAAACATTAGATATATATATAAATTAAAATTAGTTAACTCTTTAGTTCAACTAAAATTAGTTGACCAATTAAAGTTATTTGACTAAAACTGTTTTATCATTTAATGTTTTTTTAATTAATTATTACATAAAGGTTTTTAGAATATTTTAGTGAGACCAAAAAGTTAGTCTACTAATTTTAGTTGGACTAAAAAATTAGTCAACTAATTTTAGTTATGGTTTTTTTAGTTTAGTTACAATTTTTAGTTTTGGTCACAACACAAAGTTTGTTTTACATTATCCATTATTTTTTTTAGAACTTTTTCTTGAGTTTTGAAAAATTAATTCTTATATATTAAATATATAGCTTGTCGTGGTTATTTTTAAAAATTTGAATATCATTAAAATGTATTTATACAAATTTATACAAAATAATTTGTTTAAATTTAAATCAACTAGAATTAAAGAAAGGAAAATATATAAGGTTCCAGGATTTAAAGTCTAATGTTTATTAGACTCATGAGCCCATGAGCTCTTAGAGCCCATGTAGTATTTCTCCATGTAATATATGTTCTTTGAAGTGGAGCTAAAAGAGTGTTCAAAATTTTTTGAACTCCATTGGAAAAAAGGTTTGAAGTTTATTTTTGAAAATGCATATAAATAATACAAAGTCATTATCATATATGTAACTTGAAAATTCAGGTTTAAAATATAGATTCTATGACTGCTTCTAAACATTTTTGAAACTATAGGACAGAATGCTAAAATAAAGAATCTTAAGATAGATCTTTTTTGGAACTGAAAACATATTACAGTGGTTCACATTAATAAAAATTGAAATTTAGTACTGTCAGAGCCTTGAATTTTTGGTTTGATGTTGTCTAAGAAATGATTTTGTCTGAGAAATGACGTCAGAGAAATGCTGTTGTCTGTGAAATGATGTTATCTGAGAAATAATGTTGTCTGCAAAATAATGTTTTCTGAGAAATGACGTTGTCTGAAAAATGGTGTTGTCTGAGAAATGATGTTGTCTGAGAAATGGCATCTGAGAAATGATGCTGTCTGAGAAATGATGTTGTCTGAGAAATGATGTTGTCTAAGAATTTTTTCAAACTATTTGAACATTTGCGATTTAGTTGTTGTTTGTTAGATATTTTTTTGTTTATTTTGAACTTAAATATCTTGTTTTTATAATAAAAAGGAACAAAAAGAATTTCAAGATAAGTTTACATAAATCCAATCCATAAATATAATTTTAAAAGATGATTTTGCATAAATCCAACAAATAAAGATGATTTTAAAGGAAAAGTTTACATAAATTCAATCCATAAAGATTATTTTAAAAGATGTGTTTACATAAATCCAATCCATAAAGATGGTTTTAAAAGATAAGTTTACATAAATGCAATCTGTAATAGGGTTAATATTAATGGAGTAAAAAATAACAAAAACAGCTTGAAAAATATTAAATTAAATTTTTTTAATTATACAAATTTTTAATTAAAAAAAAAAAATTAAAATTAAGCATTGTTTAGTTATTTTTATGAGGTAGACAAGAGCTATGTCCTTCATGTATCTCTCTGGTAAACCATAAGAATATTTTAATGAGCTAGACAAGAGTTTTGCCTTTAAAATATTGTTACGATTCACCAAAGAGATACATGCTATAAATAGCTCTTAACTAGCTCATAAAAATATTATGGTTCACTAAAGCGATACACGCAGAATATAAATCCTGCATCTATCTCTTTAGTGAACTGTAACAATATTTTTAAGGCAGGGCTTTGTGCCTGCAGACATGATATTGTTTTACAGTAAGAAAGGAAATGATTAACAGAAAGATGCAGTGAAATCTCAGGTTTAGAAAGTTCATAACACTTTGGTTAATGTTTTCTTACAGACTAATGTTCATAAACAAAATATTTTATGAGTGGTATGGTTTGAAAAAGTAAGAAAAATTTAAAAGTTAATTGCTCAGGAAGATAATCAGTGGTGTTTGAAAGTAAAGTTAATTGCTCAGGAAGATAATCAGTGGTGTTTGAAAGTAAAGTTAATTGCTCAGGAAGATAATCAGTGGTGTTTGAAAGTTAATTGGTCAGGAAGATAATCAGTGGTGTTTGAAAGTAAAGGATTAATCTAAAGAATTAAGTTAAATGTCTAGAGAGTCTGACCTGGTTACATCATATTTTACATCAAGCAATTCTGATCTGGCTGAATCAGTAGAAGAGCTTATCCCATTTTTTAGATCACTGCAAGAGAGAATCAAGTTGACATTTTTGCTTGTTTTGATTGTGCCTTATTTCATCAAAACTATATTTTTTTTAACATCTTCACTTCCAACAAGAATGCAAGCAATCACTATTTGAGTTACTGGAAGATGAAATTTATAGATAAAGTTTTATAGAGCAAGATTAACAGACAACTCAAATTATATGAATCAGGAAACAAAATGAAGGGAGCAAATTCCAAACAACTGATGTTTGAGGAAAAAATTAGGTGATAAGAATTTTTGGAGCACTTAGGAGCAGTCACAGTAAAAGGATAAGGCTTAATTGAATGACAAGTAATATGAGAATGAATTTTAGTAGATGGCACATGAGATGCTAGCTCTTAAGAGCAGTGCCCTTTAAAGTATTTATAGAAAGAAGCAACATTATGACAGACATTTAACACAACATTACAACAGAGAAAGAGAAGCAACATTATGATAATGAGATAATGGTTTGAGGTTGGCTGCAAGAGCAGGTTCAACTATGTTTACAATGCGTTTTTGCACCTTGTTTAAAGAAAGGGCATCATTCGAAGATTTGCCATAGGTATGGCGTTTGCCATGGGTTGGATAAATGTAAACAGTTTAAAAGCTGCAAGATTTAAGTTTCCACTGTCACTCTTCTCTTACAAAACACAACAAGCAGAAACAGTTTTTGTATATATATAAAAAATCTATATATATAAAATTTATATGTTTTTTCAAATATATTTCAAATAATATTCATTTTTATTTTATTACAAATAGATATTAAGCAATAAAAAGCTGTTTATGATTTTTTATTAGAGTATAATTCAAATTATTGCTTGTGCATAAATTAATTATTATAACATTTTTATTTTCTAATTAGGTTGTCTACTTTACTTCATTGTTTCCTTATGTCATTCTGGTGATACTTTTTTTTGTTGGTGTAACACTTGAAGGAGCAAGCAATGGAGTTAAAAAATTTTTTACACCTGATGTATGTTTTTGTTGTTTAATAATTTCTCAAATAATCAGTTTTACTTTTTGAAAAATGAATTTATATTTTTATGTAAGAAAATAAGGAGTGAGTAAAACATAATAAATGTTAACTAGACATAGTGAGTAACGAGGCATGTTGGATATTGTTAAGGAATAGTGGTAGACAGTATATTGGAGGTAGACAGTATATTGGATTTTAGTATTCATCAGGAAGACCTTTTTGATGTACAATTTACATTTTTTTAAACCACTGATGTTGTATTAAATTTTTTATTTATTTTAGTTTTCCAAGTTAAAAGACCCATCAATTTGGTTGGATGCTGCCACTCAAATGTTTTTTACTCTTAGTTTAGGGTTTGGTGCATTAGTCTCATTTGCAAGTTATATGCCAATAAAAAATAACTGTGTCCGTGATGCTTATGTTGTTGTACTCATCAATTGCGGGACATCAGTATTTGCTGGAATAGTTGTTTTTTCTATTTTAGGACATAGAGAATTTATAACTGGTTCAAATGGGGTATTTTGCAAACTTTAGAAACATTTTTCTTTAAAAAATTATTAATATAGAAATGTTTTTGTGCATTTATAGAATATGCCTTATATGTTTATAAAAAGTTTTTTTTTTTTTTTTTTCAGATGAATGGTGGACCAGGGTTAGCATTTATAACTTTTTGTGATGCTTTTTTACAAATGGATGCCTCACCTTTATGGGCTGTGTTATTCTTCTTTATGTTGATTTTGTTGGGTATAGACTCAGAGTTTGGAACACTAGAAGGAGCAATTGCTCCCTTTTATGACATGAAGTGGGTAAAAATGAGAAGAGACGTTTTTATAGGTTGCGAATATATATATATTTTTTTTTAAAGAGAAAGAGTGAGATATATTCGCAATTTGTAAATCTCTCTTTTGATAAACTTTTTATACTTATAGGAGTTGTTGTTTTATGTTTGTTACTCTGTGGTATTGGACTTATATCTTCAAGTGGATTTTATGCGTTTCAGATATTTGACGATTATGCTGTCTCTTTAGGACTTCTTTTTATAGGATTTTGTCAAGTTGTTTCAATATCTTGGGTATATGGAAATGATAAGTAGGTTGATTCATTTAAAAAGAAATAGTTTTAATTAGCATTCTACAGGTTTATGAGGCTTTTATAAATATTTTTTTTCTACAAATGTTTAAAAATTATTTAGGTTTGCAACTGATATAGAGTTCATGACTGGAAAACGTCCTTATTTGTTCTGGATGATTTGCTGGAAGTATATATCTCCCTTAGCAATTGCGATCATTTTTGTTGCTAACTGTCATCGTCTTGTCATCCATGGTCCACAGTACTCTGTATATGTTGGGTGTATTCAACAATTAGTAAGTTTTAAAATTATGAATATATAACTGCTCATGTACATACATGAAAAGTTATATATTCACCAGTAGTATTTGTAGAAAAAAGAAAAATTAGTTATATTTGTAAAAAAGATAGAGCAACAATGAGACTGAAGTGCATTGTATTGTATTTGTACTTTGTACAAAATTGTAACGAGATGAAGTTTACAGTTAAAATATATATTAATAGGTTATAGGCTCGAGTATTCTTAGGCTCCCATTTATTGAGGGTAAAGTATTTCAGTTTTCTTTAAAATCAAACGTTTTCTTTGTTTAGTTAGATGTTTCTCCGTTGGGAAAAGGTGTAGCTGGCTCGATTAAGGAATTTATGTACCCTGCTTGGGCAAAGTTTATCATTATTATTTTTATTATCTCACCGATAGTGCCAATTATATTGTGGATATTTAAAGACTTTTTGTTAGGTCCAAAAATATGGTTAAAAAATATTTATACTAAGTTAACTAATATACGCGAATACCATCCTGATCCAGTACGAATAACTTCCAGTTGTTGCTGATAATAATGAAGTTGTTGAAAGCGCAACAAAAATAAAAATAGAAAAAAGAAAAAATGATAATAATACAATATTTAATATTTTTTTATATTTAGGATTTAATGAACGGATTTTGATAAGTTTTTTTAATTTTTTTACTATTTATGATGTTAATAATATTTATGATATTTATGGACTTTTTTAATATTATTTTTCAAATATTAATTTTATAAAATTTCATATTTGTTTTAGTTTATGTTTAATATTTTTATTTATTATTATTTGTTTTATGAGGGTTTTAATGTGTCTCTAGTATTTATTTTGAGGATTTTTATACTCATGGTTGTAATTAAATTTATATTGTACAATAATTTTTATAAAAATTATTAGATATAGATTTGTTATTTGAATATTAAGGGACAGATAAAAAAGTTTTTTTATATATAAGCCTTGAAACTTCTGTAATGGAAAATACGATATGTTCTTTTGTGACACAGGCCCGCTTTGTGGTGCCTGCGGTCAATTTTTGGTTGGTGCCCCAAATTTTGAATTCCTGGGTTTATTGAATTAAGCATGAGCAAATGTTAGTATATTAGTGTAGCTTGTGCCTGAACCAAAAATTTTTTTTTTAATTTTAAACGATCGAAAACGGCAGACTTAATAGTATAAAAAACTATTTTTAGCGATAAAACACTTATTTAATATGGTAATTGTAGGTTAAGTTTTACTTTAGGTTCAGGCACTAAACACATTAATAATGAGAATATCCTGAAAATTTGAAGCTAAAATAATGTTTTTTTATTGAGATATCATTGTTTTCCTACAGCTACTCATAAAAAAAACTGAGAAAAATCAGTTTTAAAATTACAAATCATGTAAACTATTAACATAAATCATGTAAACTATTAACATAAATCATGTAAACTATTAACATAAATCATGTAAACTATTAACATAAATCATGTAAACTATTAACATAAATCATGTAAACTATTAACATAAATCATGTAAACTATTAACATAAATCATGTAAACTATTAACATAAATCATGTAAACTATTAACATAAATCATGTAAACTATTAACATAAATCATGTAAACTATTAACATAAATCATGTAAACTATAAACATAAATCATGTAAACTATTAACATAAATCATGTAAACTATTAACATAAATCATGTAAACTATTAACATAAATCATGTAAACTATTAACATAAATCATGTAAACTATTAACATAAATCATGTAAACTATTAACATAAATCATGTGTCATGACTACTCACATAAATCATATGTTTGAAAAGAATATTATTGATATTCTAAAATTATTTTGGAAAAGAAATTTTTACTATTGAATTCTACAAGGTTCAACTGTCTAAGCAACATTTTTTCAAATTTTTCGTTTTTTTTTTTCATTTTTTACCTAAATAATTGCTGGATACCACCTTAACTATCGCTGTACATATTTGAACACTCTATACTTTAATTTGGTTATATATGATAAAATAATCAAAAGATACTAATTAAAATGAATGGAATTATATATTTTATCAAAAAAGTATTAATTATAAAGACTAGTCAGATCAAAATAATTTCACTTTGCGGATTTTCTTCATCGCGAAACTAGAGATGACATTTTCGTACGGTAAAGTTTTGGCAAAGTCGTTTTCAATTGAAATTACCATAAGGTTAGTAAGGCGTTCTTTAGTCAAAGTTGATCGCAATTTGGATTTGATGAGAGCAAGCTTACTAAAAAAGCGCTCTCCTTCAGCCATTAAAACCAGGACTGTATTAAAAATGCAAAGCAAAATGCAAACGAAAGGAAATATAGACTGAAGACCTTTCTGGTACATTCCGTTGAGCAACTTTATAGAAGAAAAGGATGAGAACATCTAAATGGCGGATTTCTTTGATCAACTCCCCTTCTTTTACATCATTTACTTAGAGATTTGCCAGGACTTTGCATTTTTCTTTCCAACTAAGTGTTTCTTCATCACTAGAAAGAGATGGAGACCACCAAATGAACAAAAACATATCCGTTATTTTTTGAGATGAATCCATTGCTTCTTATCTGCTGAAGTAGATTTTAAAGAACAGCATTAAATAAGTTCACCTCAAAACCTTTTGCTTTGTCTTCGTGGAAGTGGGCTGGGTTCATCTACTCGCCGTATGTTTTCCTTTCCTTGCGCTCTTCTTATCGAAATCTGAAAACCAAAATAAAGCTAGCCCAGATGCTTCCATTTTCGCTTCTTAGAGGGTTTGATGCCAAGAAGAACACATCTCGATCAAAATTATCGATTAGAGTCTTTAAAAACTTTGTCTTGTCGTCCAGACAAAAACTTTCTGATTAAAGAAGGAGGCGGATATAGTTGACACGTAAGAGAGCCTTGAACCAGAAAGAAGTTAAGACAATCAATTTAATTTGAGTATGATTTGAGTATTTCTTTTATTCGTTTTGACAATGGCCATACAGTCTCTGTGCGCGCACTCCACTTGTTTGAAACGTTTGGTGAAGGAACAGCCCAGTTGCCTCGCTCAAAATTTTCCAGCGCATGGGGCTACTACTTAAAAGGTTATACAACAATTGGATGTTGCCAAAATTGTTTTTACTACAGTAGAGGATTCTGCAGAATGAATGCCAACTAGATTGAGACAATGCGCACTATAAGGCATGTACAAAGCTTGAGAATTTTTCTCGAGAATGATGGCCTGCACTCCTTTATATACACCGGACATCTTAGCCTCGTTATCATAGCCCTGCCTCTACAGTTTTTAAAATTTCGATTCAGCATTGTCCAAAATGTCTTTAATCAGCTTCGCAATGCCAGAGCCCATCCCCCCTTTTTTTTTCTCTAGATTTTCTACGTTTAGAAAATGCTATTTTATTATCCATTGGTTGTCAGATCCTAGGTGGACAAATTGATAAACAGTAGCGACTTGTTCCGTATGAGACACATCTGGAATACCATCAATAATAGCGGAAAAACAACCAGCTGTGTGAATTTCTTCGACAATAGCAACAAAAACATTTCTCCACCTGCCATGATGAACTAATTTTGAGTTTTCCAGCTCAAATATTGCGCTTGCATCATAGTTCTCTGTTTTTGGTGTCGAGAAACTTTTCTAGATGTAATTGAATTATCTTAATATGTTTCCCAAAACTCTCAAGGGTGGCTAAAAAATTACCATTATCATCCTCGTCCAGCATGTCTGATGAACCTACTTAAATACGAGTGTAATATTGAAATAAAGATTACTTCTAGTATAATATTCCTAGCAACATTAAAATTATTTTATGAATATAAACTATAAATACACCTCGAATACTTTTCTAAGCTAAATGGAGAGTAACGTCTAAAACGCGGGTCAAATTTCATTCCGCTTAGATTTCTTATTGACTTTTCAAGTTCTGAATCAATCCCAGTCTAATATTTTAAAGTTTCAAAAGCTGATTTTCATTCGATGTAGTGATTTCTGTGCTGAACATTAGATTGGTGGTTTTTAATCTTTTCTCCTAGTTTTTGAAATTATCTTTTATTCTGTTATTTTAAATCAAGAGGAAACACTGAAATTCTCGGCTAAAATTATGCTTTCGTCCAAAAATAGAACAGGGAAAACAAACGATAGCTTTGGCAGTTTCTCCCCAGTCTCAGATTTAAGGTAGACTATTTAGTATGACTAGATCGCGTTCGACTTTAGATGAAAATCTCTCAAGCTGGGTCATTTCTAACTGCTTGGTCACCCAGTTGAATTTCTTTCTGATCATAAATTAAAACAGCATTTGAGAACTATGGTATGTTTTAAATATTTGCAGGTATTAAATGATATGTTTTTAAAATCTTTCATGAAATAAAATTTCATTCTGAACTCTCCCAATAATCATCTTCTTTTCAGAGGAAGATGACTATTGGGCAATTTTTTTGTACTCAAGAGTTCATTAACATTGTTGGCAGCATGGTCTATCTTTAAAAGAATTGTTTTAACTAATTACTATTATACAATTATGAATATACAATTGTAAATAACAAAATAGAGCCATTAATCTATAACTTGGCTACTTGGTCTGACGTAGGTCTGACGTAGAGTTATTAGATGATCATAATGATCTTATCATCAAAACCTTTTATAAGTTTTTTACATCAATACATAAACAAGACTAAAAAATTACAAAAAATTGTGACATAAATTGAAAATATAAATCAAACCACTGTTATATATATAAAAAAAGTTGGATCTTATCGTCAGAACTAACAAAAGCACAAATATATATCTCCTTATAATAGGAAAGAGAAGATACAACAGTCTTACAATTAAAAAGAGAAATACTCGGTTGTAATAAAAAGTATTAAATTTATCATCAACAGATAGGATAAAAATTTCAAGTTTACTTTTAAAAATCGGAAAAGTATTGGATATATCAAAACTAGGTATAACAGTTTTTTTTCCAAACATAGTATATATAGTGCTCGAAATGTAATTCAAAGTTTGTTAAATTTTGTTCTGCATATTGGTTCATATACAAAATTTTTATTTCGAAGTAAATATCTATTAATTGGGTTTACAGAAAAAAGGTCTTCAAAGATAGGTAAAGTTAAATCGTTTTTCCACATGTAAATAAAGCATAAAAAGTTTAATAGTAACAATAGCTAGGTACGAACATTAGTTAGCTAGTGTTTTCAAAAATGACCCAAAGAAACTTTATGATCGCATCAAACAAAATGAAGAAACTAATAAATCACTTCAAGCTCTCGAATATGACAATAAAAACATTGTAACCGATATAATTTCAGATATAATAAACAATTTCTATCATTCTGTATTCACTATTGAATAACCAGATTTGCTGGCAGATTTTGAACCACAAACAAATGTATCTTGCATTATAGACGTTTTTTATTTATTTATTTTTTTAAATATATTTATGTGTCCCAAGAAGACCTGGCGGTCTTGTTACAGAGCACCAAGGAAGTGCATTTAACCAGGAAGTTAACGCCTTCTTCCTTACCGTGACGCGAAAATATGTTCAGAGCTCGTTTCGAACCTGGATCTCCGGCTTATA